TAAGACAGGAGCTTTAAAAATGCACAAATTTTCTGGTGGAGGCTCCGCTACCTGCTTGTCTCCATGGAGATGTTATCGTTTTGTCTTGAATGTTCCACAGTATAGATTAAAACTATCAATCACAAAGGAGACAAGCAGGTTACAGCGTTACTAAAGTTGCTCGGCTATGGAAAAAATCATTATCACGATTATTCAGATGATTATTTTTTAGGGATGTAACAATACAATAACCAAAATATTGTGATATCGTATTGTCAAAGTTCTCACAATAATATCGTGGACCATCACAATATATCAAATTACAAGTGTCTTTGCTTAAATTAAGAGTTATGGTGGAGCAACAGCTAAAAAAAAGACATTGAGAACTACATAGACCATGATCCTTTGCTCCGTTTCAGTGCAGACTACAAGAAGAAATAACAGTTCTAAGCACTTTTAAGTCTTAGTTCTTTGAATTAAGTCTTGTCAAGGCATTTGTTTATCCTCCACAAAATATTGCAATAAATATCATACCATGAGATATATATCGTGAAAATACCCAGATATTTATAAGATAATTTGGATATTGTTACATCTCTAATCGTGAGCCTCCCCACCATATCGTGAGCTTTCCCATGATACACAATAAATATCGTACCATGAGGTTCATACCGTGACGATATCGTATCGTGAGACTTGGATATTGTTACACTCTTATTATTTTTTAGTTACACGATGCATGTTTTCAGCATTTCTCTCTTAAAAACTTTCAAATTGATAATAAATGTAGGCTACAAATATGTACCTTAGAGCAGTTTTGCAATACATAAAACATAAAATGAATAAAATAGACTCTGAATATGAAATAAGGCATAGAAAAACATAGATAAATGTTCTCTGTATTTAAACAAATAACATAAATCTACTTATTTATATTAAAAAATATCCCAAAATAAACTTTGTTCAGTTAAATCATTTCAACTCAATTATAAGAGTTTTGAGATTGTTTGAGACACAAATTGAAATTGTGATTAAAATTCAATTAATTGCACAGCTTTAAGCACTACGCAACATTACAGTTCAGATCTGTGGAGAGTCGCCCCTATTCACAGAAGGAATTATTTCATTTTTGAGGAAACTCCTGTAATGAATAAATACTAGATGGATATGTTTAATGTCATACCATGGAATATTCTACAGAAAGCAGTTAACATCTCCATGGAAACAAGCAGGTAACGGACCCTCCAAAAGAAAAGTTGCACAGTGCACCTTTAAATCACATTGCTCTACTGGGTTAAGACATTCCAGGTAAGAAGACAATATGCCAAAAAAAAAAAAAAAAAAAAAGTTGTCTACTGAACAAAAGGTAAAAGGTAGACATTAACTTGAAAACTACCACTTCATGACATCACAGGGTGGAACAGAGCATTATATAGACTAATAATGCAGAGTTACTCAATCACTCTGCACTATCAGGGTGAAAGAAAAACACACTAAAGCTACATTACGTAACTTTTCTGGCTGCTTTTCTCCATGAAGATGTTCTTGCTTTGTCTGAAATGTTCCACAGTATGGCATTAAACCTTTCTATCTTCATGGAAACCAAACCAGATCTGTGGAGAGGCGACGCCGCTCGCAGTCAGATTGTTGTTTTTCTAGGTATTTTTGAGCTTTAAAACCACCTGTAACTGAATAAACGCGACTTAGAGCTGCTTAACGTCACACTGTGGAACATTCCAGACAGAGCAATGACCCCCCCCATCATAAAAGTTACACAGTGTACCTTTAAAGACACACTGTCGGCATGCGAACGCCGTGTCGATGAGGAAAGTACATACGAGTTTATCTGACTTTGGAAGGCATATGTTCTGAGTCTGGAAGCAGCAGAAAACAGATATTACTTGGCAAATGCTGCTATTCTCCTTCCAGTTTACTTGTGGGGTCTGCTCAGGCGGAGAGTTTTGCAGGAATTAGGATGAGGTCCCTGTTGGTCGAAGCAGCTGTTTGTCGGGAGGTCCGTGCTGGGTAGAAAAGATGAGGAAATACAGAGAAAGTGAAAGCACAAGACAGCAGTGTTACACAGTTCTTGCTGTTAAAAGGCCTATTTTTGTTCGCTTTTTTCTGGTGTTATAATGTTGTTTCCTCGTCAAAAACAAGCCCCGAGTTGTGTTTTGTTTCATTCACACATGTTTAAGTTTAAGCCCAAAGTTCTTCTCTCAAACTGAAAACACTGATGATGGCATGTGGTTATACAGGAAGTGCTCCACTGTGTTTTTAAACTCCACACACTTTCACTAGAAACATCTGGATTTGAATTTCAGCCTTGTGGTTGCTAATCTCTTCTGAACTAAAGCTAAAAGGAAGATGTTAACGTGAAAACTGCCACTACATGACATCACAAGGTGGAATAGAGCTTTTTGAGCTTTCGAGATGTTGACAAGGTAAAAATAAACAAATGAGAATGAAATAAACCACAACTGCAGGTATGTTTTTGAAGAGGTAACAGCATTCTTACAAGGCTTTACATTAGGGAAGTAAAAATAACCAAAATATTGTGATATCGTATCGTCAGAAGTCTCACAATAATACGGTTTGGCATCACAATATATCGAATCACAAGTTCCTTTGCGTAAATGCTTTTTTTAATAGTAGCAACATCTTATAAACATAGGGAACTACATATCCCATGATTCATTTCAGCGCATGAACATTCTTATTTTCTTATTTTATTTATTTGTAAAGGGACAGTACATATTAATGAACATTAACAATGTAAATATGCAAAGATTATAGCCAACGTGGCTAATTTCCATCTTCAGTCCCTCGGCAGGTTGATGTAAAATCATCTATAGGACGAGGAAAAGTACAGCAACAATCACACAAAAGTACACAACACCAACACACTCACTATACACACAATTAGTTTCAAACAGTTCATTTGAAGTTCAAAGTCAGAAGTTTAAGAATTAAGTCAAGAGTTAAACCAACAACCCCTCAAAATAAAAGAAAATATAAATTGGTTAAACATGGTGACATATTTGACCATTGAATAACCACTGTTTTAAAGCTTTAGAAAATGCTGCCAGTGTTGAAAGTTCTCGTATATGAGCAGCACTGTGTCCATGTTTGAGCCGCTCGATAAGCAAAAGAGAGTTTGTCCAAAGGTACTTTTCCTAAACGGCACAGAGCAGTCGCCTCTAGAACTGCTCTTGTTGTGCGATTTGAATTTCTTTTCACAAACTCCTTTAGAGGAGGTGGAGCAAGATGATTCAAAACTTTGTAAACCAGAATTAAATCTGCATATTTGATTGTGTTATCCCAATTTAGGAATTTGTATTTGTCAAGTATTCTGCAACAGTGATAATTTGTGGGCTTTTTGTCTAATACTTTAAGTGATTTTTTATATATTGTTTCAGCTAATTTAAGAGTAGTTTTGTTCGTCAGAGTCCAAATAGTGAAGAAACATGAAGAAATGTTTTTTTTACTTGAATTATTGGAATTATGACGGAAATAATTCACACCAAAATCTTGTCAAGGTATTTTAAAGGCAAAAAAGTCTCCTATCTACAATTATATCAGCCACTTCAAAATATCGCAATAAATCGTACCGTGAGATGCATATCGTGATAATATCGTACCAAGAGATTTGGATATAATTACATTCCTACTTAAAGAGCATTGTGTAACTTTTCTGGTGAAGGGTCCGTCAAATGCTTTTCTCCATGGAGACGTTATTGCTTTGTCTGGAATGTTTCACAGTATGGCATTAAACCTTTCTATCACAATGGAACCCAAACCAGACCAAGTTACAGGCAGAGGTGGGACCAAGTCGTCATTTTACAAGTCTCAAGTCTTTGACCTCAAGTCCGAGTCAAGTCCCAAGTCAAATACAGGAAAGTCCAAGTCGAGTCTCGAGTCACTGCCCCATAAGTCCAAATCAAGTCCAAGTCGTCTGCTTCAAGCTTCAAGTCATTTCAAGTCTTTAAACCAAAAAAAGTACCAAATACGGCTTAGATTTTTGCAATTTATATGACTTTTAAAATAAATTGTACTTAAAAATTCTGTATATTTATATATGAATATTTATAGAGTTGTAGCAATGCTTTTTTTTTTTTTTTTTTTTTAAATGCCTTGACACAAAACAGTTATTTGTGGTGTAGTCTGCACTGAAACGGATTTTGGTTTTCTGTAGTTCCTGTAGTATATTTGAGTATCACAGTACTTCAGTTCCATCCAAAGTAACAAACGGAAGTAGGAGGGACATGTTCCAGTTTGTTCCTGGAAAATTCAGCACCGCATTTATCAACTGTAAAGAGAAAAGTATTTTCTAAAAACATACCTTTTTTTTTTTTAGAAGCATCGAGTCTTCTCAAATCGCAGTCCTCAAGTCCAAGTCAAGACCCAAGTCTTAGTCCATTTTATCAAGTCAAGTCTCAAGCCCTAAAAATAGTGACTCAAGTCTGACTCCAGTCCAAGTCGCGAGTTGCAAGTCCCCACCTCTGGTTACGGGTCAGATCTGTGGAGAGGCAACCCCGCTCCCAGTCAAAATTAATGTTTTTCTAGGTATTTTTGCGCTATAAAACCACCTGTGATTGAACAAATGTAAAACAGAGCTGTCATACTGCACCTTTAAAGACGACTATTTTGTGTAACGTGGGACCTTTAAATCACATCGCTCTACAGGCAAGAAAATAATAGGCCAACAAAATCAATGACATTCTCCTTAGTGTTAGCTGAGTTGGCTTCGAGAGGTCAGGCAACGAGACCTGCCAGCATTAGCGGTCATGGCTGTGGGGGTACTCTTACTGTAACCTTGGCCTCCATTATTTTGCATAATGGAGCAAAGTCCCAGTGTGCTTTTATAGGCTGTATTACGGTAAGAACGCTCAGTGCTCAACAGATCATTACTTTGTCAAAACAGCTATCAAACTACATTGGCACGGGCTTTTGGTGGGACGTACGCATCTCCAAAAGTGTCAAAGGCAGTCACGGGAGATAAAACAAAGAATAAGAAACCTCAATACAGTTTGGACAATTGAAGCTTTAATAGTTTTTATTTCAACAACTTTTAACTTAAGAAAACAGGGAATAAGATAGGCTTTTGGTTCCAGCAGCTGTTAAATAATAATACACTGTCACAACATTGATCTGCTGACAAAACCTCTCATCTCTTCTACTGTAACTGATCCGAAACGAATTACTTAAAGAGTCCAAATTACGTATTTTTCGGATGTTGTTTCCTCATCAGAAACATACCTGGAGTTCTGTTTTGTTTCATTCACATTTCATTTCATTTGCCTTCAAAACCAAATTGAAAAAACAGATAATGATTCGTGTTTTCAGTTTTCGATTTTGTGTTTAAATGAATACTGTTTCTCATTTTCGTGACACACTGCGATGCTGGACTTATGCTGCACCCTATACGGACTGAACCAGGACTAAACCAGGTCTAAACCAGGACTAAACCAGGACTAAACCAGGACTGAACCCAGGACTGAACCCAGGACTGATCCCAGGACTGATCCCAGGACTGAGACCGGGACCAGACCAAGACTAGGACCAGGACTGAAACCAGGACTGAGACTGGGACCAGACCAGGACTAGGACTAGGCCCAGGACTGAGACCAAGACTGAGACTGGGCTGAGACTGGGACTGAGACCAGGACTAGGACCAGGACTGAGACCAAGACTGAGACCAGGACCATACAGGGACTGAGATGGAGACTACGACTGAGAACAGACCAGGACTGAGACTGGGACTGAGACAGGACTGTGACTAGGACTGAGACCAGGACTGAGACCAGGACTGAAACCAGGACTGAAACCAGGACTGAAACCAGGACTGAGACTGGGACCAGACCAGGACTAGGACCAGGACTGTGACCAGGACTGAAACCAGGACTGAAACTGGGACCAGACCAAGACTAGGACCAGGACCAGGACTGAGACCAAGACTGAGACCACGACCATACAGGGACTGAGACGGAGACTACGACTGGGAACAGACCAGGACTGAGACTGGGCTGAGACTGGGCTGAGACCGGGACTGACACCAGGACAGAGACCGGTTTAGTCCTGGTTCAGTCCTGGTTTAGTCCTGGATCAATACAGCATCACAGTTTAAGTCACAGAAATGAGAAACGGCCGTTATCCATTTTTTCCATTATTTATTTAAACATAAAATCAAAAACTGAAAAAACAAATCGTTATCTGTTTTTTTCATTTTAGTCTTGGAGACAAACAATGAAGAAAATAGTTGTTTTTTAAATTTTCTTATTTTCGCTTTTATTTTGAAAAACAAATGAACAAATGATACACAGATTTCCCTGCATATTTAGGCCTAGTGCTTCTCTCCAGGTACATCAGGAGTCAATTTTCTGTAATATAGGCCCTTTTAAAGAGGAAATAACTCGGCTAGTTGAAAGTCCAGGCTACAGCGAATACCGTGTTACATTTCTGGGTGGCAGGGCAGTGACAAAACCAGAGGAGGGGGAGGAGAGGAGAGGTGGAGGAGTAAGACGCACTGAGAAATGTTGAGTTCATGTGAAAGCCTAACGCTAATTGACCATGCACAAGCTGTCAAACACAGTATTTCTTTTACATCTGATTCCAAAATGTGAATACAATACAGTGAAGCGGCAATGATATATCAAAAAGGACACATGGAGGGGACAATGCAAAGAATAAAATCAGGGATACAATAAAAGCAGGTCATTCAAGGAGACAAGGACTGTGTGGTGGATTGATTTATTAAAATGGCAGCGGGACAGTCTCTCCCTTCTGTGATTACGAGGCCCGGTTAGATCAGCGATGTCCGTGTGCGCTCCCTCCTACACATTGTATGCTCATTCTTCCTTTCGCTACGCACGATTCATACAGAAATAGAAAAGTGACATCAGCGCTGCCCGTTGTAAATCAATATTTTTTGCTGCCAGCCGGACGCCCACGCTTGGACAGAGAAGCGGGCTCAGATTCGCTTCCTGGGTTAGTGGGTTTGTATCAGAGTCCAAACCACTCAGTGACCCCTCCTCTTCGGGGGTCAAGTCTCTGCCTTTGCTGCTCGTCCTCCATGAACTTCTCCTGCATCTCCTCCACCGAGCCCTCCGCAGCCTTCTTCTCCTTGTCGGGGAACAGGTCCGGAAAAGTAAACGTCTGGCCCTGTGCCTATGAATGCAAAGACAGGAAACAAAATAATGATTAGTGAACTGTGCTAAAGAGAGCTAATGCTTTTTTAAAATCAATGTTAAAGGGCCCATATGATGCAATTTTTCTGCGTTTTAATGTTGTTTTCTTGTCTCAAAACATTCCTGGAGTCATATTTTGCTTCATTCGCACATGTTTAACACACAAACTCTGCATATTTAGGCGGAGCTCCTTTCTCAAACTCAAGACAGGAAGAGCTCTACTGTGTTTTAAAGCTCCAAACACCTTCACTGGAATCATTTGGATCATTTCAGCCCTGGAATTTCCAATCTCTGTTAACTCGATGACTACCACTTCATGACATCACAAGGTGGAGCAGAGTATTTTCAGATTTGGAGATGAAGACAGACTCATAATTAGGGCTGGGTATCATTCAGAAGAGAAGGGTTGGATTAAAAAACTTTTCTTCTTCCCACTCTAATTTTTTTTGTTATTTCTGCTATGATTTCATGAGTGTTATATGTTTTATTGTAAAATAATGTAAATTTCTTACTTGCCCAAAATAAAATACATAAATAAAAAAAAATATGTAAATAAAAATACTTTAAACTTGTAAAAGAAAAAAAAAGTTGTCAATACTATACATAACTTGATACATAGGCCATGATACGATACATATCTCGATACAGTGAGCTTTCGATTCAATAAAATTTATTTCAAATTGGTTCGATATGGTTCCGTAAAAAATAAACGCTAAATCATGGCTGTTATACTAAAACTCTTTTAGGGGTACCTCAAGGGTCAATATTAGGGCCAATGATGTTTTACTATGTACCGATGTTTCACGTAAATAGAGAATCAGGCTTATAAAGCATGCGCTTTACTTTGTTTTGACTAATTTATTTATGTTTTCATTATCTTACACTAAACCACTTCTTGTGCAAAGTTCATATGAAACACAAACATTTAAATCAAAACAGTGAAAATGTCAAATATGTCACATAAATGAGTTTCCTTCCACTGAACAAGCAACAAAAGTGTAGTACTGTAACAAAATAATTTTGTAAAATATACAAAAAAATACTCTTCGCAATATATCGATACAGCAGCCCACAATATCTATACTGTATCATCACATTAAATAACACAGTATATCGATATTTCAATATTTTTGCACACCCCTACTAATACTCCAGATTTACTCAAACATGTGTGAACAAAACAAAAGACAATTCCAGGTATTTTATTGGTGAGGTAACAACATTATAACATATCACAAGATTTCACAATTTTGCATAATTTAGAAACTTTAAGGAGTGTTTTTGAGACATGTCATATCAGATTTTGTTGTTTTGTGACCATTTCTGAAGCATTGAACTGAACATCTAAATAAGGATGTCACTATTTTTCTTTTCAAAATTCTACAAACGCTGTCAACCGGTATGACATTGGGTTTCTCTCTCCCACATTTAATCTCTCTCCATTTTTTCTGGTCGTGATTTATTCAGAGGGAGAGGATAGTATCCATTATTTATTCCATACCAACCCATCTCTGGTCGTAGCTAATGCATCAGTGGTCCGGGGCAGTCTGTGTCAGCCATAAAGTACAGTACACTACAGCCTACCCCGCACACACACACCATCTCGCACACACACACCATCTCACACTCTCACACACACTCTCACACTCTTACACACACACACACACACACACACAAATGAAGGGGTCAGTGGGTGCAGTTCACATCATTAGCCTTTAACTCCACGGACCTTCCTCAAGCCTCTGCCACCGGCCCCCAGCAACAGGAATTCACTAGAAAAACTAGCAATCCAAACTGGGGAGTGGGGATGGGCATTCGATGAAATTTTAATAATCGATCGTCGGGAGAATTAATGATAGATTTTCGATTAATCATTAGTGTTTTTATATATAAGTATAATCATTATTATTACTATTACTAATCTGCATAAATAAACTCAACTCTTCAACATATAACCACTCTAGAGCCACATCAGCCTGTTTGAGATTTTAATGTGTTTAATGCAGCTTTGCCCAAGTCTTACAGAAAATAAAATAAAAAAGGCATGGCTAATTTGCATAAACTAAACTGAGAAAAAAAAAAAAAAGCATTTTTGCACTGATGCGGTTCAGCTTCTGTCGGACTAAAGGACACGACTCGGTGGAATATGAGTGTTCTTTCTGTGACAGAGGTATGTTGATGCTGAAGGTGAGTCTGTTCTGTGTGTTGCGATGTTTTTAAAGATCGTACGTCTGCAGGTTTAGCGCAGCTCTTTATGTTGCAGTAACCGGGATACTGCGTAAACATGCACTATAATACAGATATGTATGTAAACGCACTCACTGAGCAGTACAGTGTCTCCAAGGAGGTGCCAGAGCGCAAACGTGGGCCTGAGACTGAAACTCCAGTGTTTGCGCTGTCAGACGCAGCTTCATATCCACGCACAGAAACCTACATTCGGCTGTCGATTAGAAATGAGCGCAAACGACGAAATTTTTAATGATCAATTATCGATTAGTCGACTAATCATGCCCATCCCTACTGGGGAGGCTTTAAAATTAACTTTAATTTTAAAGCCTCCCCAGTATATATATATATATATATATATATATATATATATATATATATATATATATATATATATATATATATATATATATATATATATATATATATATAGTATATATATATATATATATATATATATATATATATATATATATATATATATATATAGTATATATATATATATATATATATATATATATATATATATATATATATATATATATATATATATAGTATATATATATATATATATATATATAGTATATATATATATATATATATAGTATATATATATATATATATATATATATATATATATATATATATATAGTATATATATATATATATATATATATATATATAGTATATATATATATATATATATATATATATATATATATATATATATATATATATATATATATATATATATATATATATATATATATAAAGTAATTTTAAATTTGTGGCAGTGCCAGTTGGGAAAAAACAAACTGAATTCCAATTGAAATACAACCTGCAAATGAGCAAACCATCTGGGGTACCTCAAGGGTCAATATTAGGGCCAATAATGTTTAACCATGTACTGCTGTTTCACATAAATAGCTTATAAAATGTGCACTTTGTTTTGTTTTGACTAATTTACTTATGTTTTTAATTTAATTTATTTTTAAAAATACATTTTTATAGCCCAGATCATTAAACATCGCAATAAAAAGTTAGAATCTCTTTATAGGTGTCATTAAGAGGTAACTATAACCACCTTCTACTTCTGAGAATTCATACTTAAATCCACCTGCCACTCATCTAAAGCACAACAGAGTCTCTGTGTTTGAGCTGCATTGAAGCAACATTGAATATAACCAAAACATTGTCACAGAGAAGTAAGCATGTAAAGTCTAGGAATGTTCTCCTAGTCTCATCAGAACATAAATCAATGTACAGAACATACACACAGGGGCAGCACGCTCTAATGAAATGGTTACAAATGAAAAAAAAATGTTTCAGTTTAAGCTAAAATGGCAAACGCAACAATAATAAGCAAATTACCATTAATTATTTCCAGATCATTTGCCCCATGAAATCAATTTTGTAGCGGACTTTGACTGGATAAAAGCTCCGTAAATATGCAGGTTTAGATCTGAACATGTGTTTTAACTTTATCAGCTTAAACACTGCCAAAAATTACAAAAGGTTTACAAAATATGAGTGTTATTATATAAGAGTGTGAAAGAGGGTGTTGCATAATGAAGCATTTTACATAATGTTATAAGAGAGCCTTGTGTCCCCACCACCTGACCTACTCCCAACCACAACACTGCTTTCAATCAGACATACACTTTCAGTGCGGCATCTGATATGTCTGTGATGAATCTGTCTCCAACTGACAGTACCAGGAGAAACATGCGTACAATTACATTATAGTATCATGATCACACAAACAACTGCACAATATTATCAGTTTTATATTTGCTTTTAAGTATCAGTCCAAGTGTCAGAGTGTTATGGAAAAGAGTCTGTAATCAAACCCCGTCCCAGTTTATTTTGTCCTTGCAGATTTTTGACTGCTGACCACAGCAAGTCCACCTGACCATCTGCGCAGATGGTCATCGAGGAATACTGCGTCGTAAAGCCAAACCTCTTCCATCCAGGCAGTTAGCTGTAGGACTTTCAAAAGAGGAACAGGAGACTAGTGTCTACTGCTGCACTAATGTAGACCACAGCGCTAGATCACTCACAGCAGCTGAGCCAAACACAATTAAATCCAACTTGAACCAACACTGTCGCATGACAATTCCCAGTTAGACAGTGCAGTGCTGGACACCTTGTGTATACACACGCCAGAGATTAATAATGGCCTCCGCGAGAGTGATTCACAAAAACAACAAAGACTTGAGATTGAAGTCAACAAAGCGCTAAGTCTTGTTAAACAAGTCTTTTTGTTGGCAGCAGTGTGTGAGTGTGTGAGCCCAGCGTCTGCTGGACACATTTCCGCAGTCAGAGAAAGTGCGCCCTCAATGCATTCATACTTTTGGTGGAATATACACATGCACACACACACACACACAAATACACACACACACACACATATACATGAGACTAGGGCAGAGCCAGCCCCAGTGCCCTGCTCTATTTACATCTGTGCTGTGTGTGCCATACACCTGCATGTTACACAGACTGTTGAGAGATTTATGGAGAGGAGCAAAGCCGACTCACTTATCATTCAATTACACTTCTTCACAGAGCGAGTCGAGTGGGGACAACAGTGGCACACAGGGTTAGAGTTTGTCTATGGACTTGGAAAACATCAAAAAGAAACACAGAAAAAAAAAAAGACCAGCCAAATGAAAGAGAAAAAAAAAAAAGTATATATGTGTATATATATATATATATATATATATATATATATATATATATATATATATATACAAG